AATTAATAAATAGTAGTGTCCTATGATAACACTAGTACATACACAATAATTATATAAAAAAGCATAAATAAATTATCTAACTAAATTATAAATAAATAAATATGAGAGAATGATCAATGGCATTAAATTCCATATATGGTTTTTTAAAGTTAATATTTACTTTATTTTATTTAATTTCAAGTTTTAATATTTATATAAACCTCTATGAGAACAAATATATATATGTGTAAAGGTTAGTTTGGTCACTCCATCAGCTGCCTTGAGTTGCATGTATAGGAAAACAGTGGATTGTTTATTTATTTAGAAAGAGCACTAGTGGTTAATGATAAAAGTTGAGATCATGGAATTGCTGGTCGTGATCATTATAAAAGATGAGATGCTGGGGACTAGAATGGTCAAACACGACAAACCGAAAAAGAATTTGGTTTTTATAATTATCTGGTCAACTCCCGTGTTATTATATCAATTTTCATTAATTATTTTTATTAAAATAATAATTATTTTTTTAATATAGATTTTGATTTTAAATTTTATCTGGGAGCTTATCACTTTAAAATTATCATGAATTATTTTTTATTTAAAAAAAATACTACAATTCAAGTAAAAAATACTTTCTCATTTACAATTTTTATATTTAGTTGAGTAATTTTTCAAATATACTTTTAACTTGATCTCAAATATGCTTATCAAACCATCTAAATTACAATTATTATTCCTTTCCTTCACTTGATTGTTTATTTCAATTTTAAATTCAAATTTAGAAACCTACCTCAAAACTTATTAAGTTAATTACGTTTTACTATTACAATGTCATTTTCTATTTAATCTAAAACATGACCAATATTAAATTATGAATTACATAATTCTCATATATTAAATTGCGGAGCCATATTGAATTAAACAAATATGACTCGGTATCAATAGAATTAGCATCTTATTTTGTTTCTGAAACTAAGCCTATTTAATCTAAAACATGACCAATATTAAATTATGAATTACATAATTCTCATATATTAAATTGCGGAGCCATATTGAATTAAACAAATATGACTCGGTATCAATAGAATTAGAATCTTATTTTGTTTCTGAAACTAAGCTTCTTTTTTTTTTTCCTATTGATTTAAAGCATATTTAAAAACATAATAAAAATTATTTTTAAAGTATTTTTTATTTATAAATATATTAAAATTATATATTTTTTAATTTGACATTAAAATATATTAAAATTATATTTTTTTTAATTTGACATTAGCACACTAGAACAACAAAAATAACTAAAAAAAATTAATTTAAAACTAAAAAAATTAAAAATGCTTTCGAACAGCAATGACAAACAATCCTAAGTTATCATTATTGCTGCTGCTGCTGCTGCTCATGGCTTTTATTTTTTGAGTTTCAACATAAGCATCATCCGACAATAATTTGTACAGGGATGAAATTGAAAATAAACCTGGAGCAGAGGGACTGTTATCATTATTGCTGCTGCTGCTGCTGCTGGGTTTTATTTTTTGAGTTTCAACATAAACATCATCCGACAATAATTTGTATAGGGATGAAGTTGAGAATAAATCTGGAGTAGAGGGACGAAATCCACTTTTAAACGCTTGCATATATGCAAAACGGTGCGGTCTATGCCTTAAATCTTAATTACCAGTTTACGCCGTTAGAAATCGAAGCAGTTCACTCTACTCTATTCTGGGAAGTCAAACTCTGAGAGCGTAGCACTAGCACTGCATAGAGTGCGAGAGAAATGGAGACGAAGAGCAGCAGCAGCAATTCAGTGACGATAATCCACAATGCCATGATCGTCACCATGGACCCCGAGAGTCGTGTCTTTAAGAACGGAGGGATTGCTATCGAACAAGATAAGATCAAAGCCATAGGTCAATCTGCCGATATTCTTTCTCAATTCTCCTCTCTCGCTCACCATCTCCAAATCATCGACCTTCAAAGTCATATCTTACTTCCTGGTACTCCATCCCTCCCTCCCTCCGTCACTCTTTTGTTGCTTATTTATTTGTATTGATAGATATACTCCAATCGAATCCACTGATCATAATACATTAGGATTTATAAACACGCACGTGCACACATCGCAACAGCTAGCGAGAGGGATAGCTGATGATGTTGATCTGATGACATGGTTGCATCATCGTATTTGGCCTTATGAATCTAATATGACTGAGGATGATTCTTATCTTTCTACTTTACTTTGTGGAATTGAACTCATTCACTCTGGTGTAAGTCCTTTTATTTTTCTCTTTAAATTGGAATTCAGTTTGATGTTTGGGATTATTACTACTATCATTATTTTATATAGGTTACTTGCTTTGCTGAAGCTGGGGGCCAGTATGTGTCTGGAATGGCTCGTGCTGTTGAAGAATTGGGCTTGCGCGCCTGCTTAACTGAGTCAATTATGGATACTGGCGAGGGTTTGCCTACATCTTGGGCTATGCGAACTACGGATGACTGTATTCAGGTTGAGGATTATACTGGATTTTAGTTGATATTGTGGTTTTCATTACCATGCTTTTCTTCGATATGTTGACGTGTGCTTATATTACGGCACTAATTTCTGAACAATCTTGCTTGTTGAGTTGATTGAGTGGTGAAAAATGCAAACCATTGATGAATATATGACGGGCTTTGGTGTTTTGCATTTTTGAATGATATTACAATTTTCTTCCTTTGGAATCTTACTATGTGTAATCTTACTAAGTGTCTTCGTGTCCTCGATTTTCCCACAAAGATGAACATTTATGCTGATATACGCGATCATGAACCACTGTAACATAAGTAATGCTCAGGCTGTTAGTGAGCTTGGATTGTGTCAACTGTAATCGTACTTTAGAATCTTGATGAGTGTCTTTGTGTCCATTATTTCCCCACTCAAAGACAAGCATTTATGCTGATATGTGTGATCATGAACTATTTTAAAATAGGTAATGCTCAGGCTTGTCATTGCGTGTGAGCTAGGATCAAAGTTGTGCTTCAAAATCCCTTGAGGCATATCCAGTTTGTGAATCTTACGCCCTTTTCGTTTTCAGGCACACACTATCACATTGTTGTTGCATTTTTGTTCAAGTCTCTATGCAAAGATATTTCATCCTTATCCTCTGTTGTTTAGTATCATTTTTCCCCTTTTATATCCACAATTGTTGTACTAGTTACTTTAAATGACAATTATATCATCGACTGAAGCCAAATTTCTCACTTCAAGGGCAGTCTCAAATGGAGCTTTATGAGAAGCATCATAATACTGCAGATGGACGCATTAGAGTATGGTTTGGAATTAGGCAAATTATGAATTCAACTGATCGCCTACTTCTTGAAACTAGAAATACAGCTCAGGAACTGAAAACTGGAATTCACATGGTACTGAACTTTCTCTTTACCTCAGAGTTACATCTATATTGTAAATCACATGCGGATTTATTATCTGGTGAATATTGATGTGCATTGAAATGTTTTATTATTAGAAAACTGTTAAAACGTTTTTGTTTTGGGTTGGAAGTATAGATGCACTGGAATTTGCCAAATAAACAGCATTTTTTCGCGTGACAAGACTCTTTGATGTTATGCCATAATTCAATTTGATTATATAGGGACACGAATCTCAGTTTCTGCATGTAGCTTGTCCTCATAATAGTGATACTGTGGATATATCCCATCCAAATTAGGATGCAACACTCAAGTCAGCTGTCAACTGCAAGGAGAATGATCTGTTTGAAATGGACTTAAACAATGATGACAATGTTTCTCCTTCCTTCCTTCCAAAATAATAATAATAATGATAAATTAAAGGCAATGAAAAATATTTTTAATTCCTTTTCCATCATGATAAACTTTACTTGGTTCAGAAGTTGAAAGTCCTGCCAAAGAAAGAAGATGTTGAAATAGGTTGTGCTAATCTTTCCAATTGTTAGCATGTTGCAGAGATACCTTATGAGAATCAATTCGTGAAGGGTAATCGGAAAGTTGAACACGGGACTGTTACACACTTGGAGAAGATAAACTTTCTTCAAAACAACTTACTTTCAGCTCATACAGTTTGGGTCGACGACACTGAGGTGAATTGCTCCTGCTAATTCTCTGCTAGACGCCTTGGAAATAAATCAGTTTACCATCCTTGCATGAAAAAGTAGATAAATAAGGTCCAATAAATTTGCAAATAGGTGAATTTTTCTTTTATTAGTGGATAGTTGAGATTGTTTGTAATACTTTTTTGATATAAACCTGTTCTTTATGCTTACTCTATCTCCATGGGTTTTTTTTTTTATTTTTGGTTCTTATTTGAGACATTTTTAAATCCAAGTAATAATTTATTTTCTGAAACTGGACATGTTATACTAATTATAACAAGATGACACTTTCTAGTTGGATTTCAAGGAAGATTATGCGAGATGGATTTTCATATATGGCATGCTTCCTTGGCTATGATTAGTCTGACTCCCAACTATTTTATTTTTCAATTTTTTCCCATTGGCATCAGAGAAATTTTTCATTTTGATGCGTGTAGTGGGAAATGTAGAAAGTGGCTTGATGTTTACAGATTGTATTCTTTTTGTAATTCTTTCCACTCACCTTCCCCCCTCAAATTGCTGTTGTAAATTTTGACTTTCTAACATATGTTGTTATATTTGCTTCTTAGTTGTCTGATGGTTGCTTGTTCCTCATTTACCATCTGTGATCCGCGCTTTTGTCTCTAGCTAATTCTAAGATCATGTTCTCAGTGATCTGACTGTCATCATTTCTCCTTCAGATAGGTTTTCTTTCAAGAGCTGGTGTCAAAGTATCTCACTGTCCTGCTGCTGCAATGAGAATGCTTGGTTTTGCACCTATTAGGGAGATGCTTGATTCTGGCATTTGTGTTTCCTTGGGAACAGATGGGGCACCATCAAATAATAGAATGAGCATCGGTTTGTTTGATTTATGATTTTTTGTTTCCATTCTCACATTTCTTTGATGTTCAGTAGTTTCCTGTTATTGTGGTGTTTTTTATGCAAGTTTGGCCGTGTTCAGTTTCTGGTTTCCCTTTTATTGAACCCTAGACAGACCTTTAAAAAGAAAGAAACAGGGAATACTTCCTCGTCACACATGCTTACATGTATAAATAATCAGAGTAGCTATTAAAACACAAGATTTACATGTATAAATAATGAGAGTAGCTATTAAAACACAAGATTTTCACCCCGTACCATTATAAAAATGTCCGGGCCCGGGTTGTGTTGGAGACATGGTCAGATAATTTTCCTTTGCACTATAATATAGATTAAGGAGAAAAAATAATATTTCGAAGCTCATCCTTCAAGCAATTTTTGTCAATACTTACACTAAGGTCAAAATGTCCTTGGTCCTTGGTGACTGCAAATTTATGTGGTATTTTTGTCTTTGTAGTTGATGAGATGTATCTAGCTTCTTTGATCAACAAAGGACGGGAAGTTTATGCGAAGGGAACAACTGATCCAACAGCTCTCCCAGCTGAAACAATTCTCAGAATGGGGACCATAAATGGTGCAAAAACAGTGCTCTGGGATAATGAAATAGGATCCCTTGAAATTGGGAAAAAGGTCGGACTGTTAAAGCTCCAATTAGGACTGTGTTGCAGTCCCAAATGGATTCTAAGTTAGATCACTTGCTCTTCTCCCTCCCCACCTGCCCTCCTCTCCTCTCCCTCCTCTCTCACGTTTTAACTTGCAATTAGAGATTTAGCTTCTTTTAACTACAAGTGCTTGGTTTTTTAATGTCTTTTCAGGCATTTGAATCTGATTAATCTTTGTTTTCATGATTTGGTAGGCTGACATCACTGTGGTCCATCCCAACTCATGGTCCATGGTTCCTGTTCATGACTGGTATGAAAGTAGCTTTGAAGTTTTTGCAACATAATAGCTCTTCATCTCATGTTCTCAGTGCCTTAAATATATGTCAACTCAACCATTTAGGGTAAAGAAGTTTCTCCAGCTTCTTCTCAACGTATGCTTTTTGATTAACCACATGTAAATGCATTTATCAAAATTCTCATTTAGGGCTTTTGAGGTTTATCTGAATTGTAAACAACTGTCAAGTTATGTGCCTGCTAAGCTTACCCCCTACGTGCCACAAATTGACTAAGTGTGTACCTGGTCCTGAATCTTGTACCACAACCGAAATGTCCCATGTTCCTGGTAACCATGGTCATGTGTTCTACATGGCCATCAGCCATCAGAAATTGCAGCACAGTTCTTCTGTCTAATTTTCTTCTTTTCCACTGGAACTGTTCAGAACTGAAGTGCAGCATTTGTTCTATTAGATTTGTGTGTAACAGCCTATAAATGTACTTGGTTCAATGGATTGATGTTTGTTTTACTGTTCTGCAGCATTTCAAGCCTTGTGTACAGTATGAGGACTGAGAATGTTGTCTCCGTAATGTGCAATGGCAAGTGGATTATGAAGGACAAGAAGATTGTGAATGTGGATGAGGTACTTTGTAATGGACATCATTTTGTTTATCAATCATCTCTTTCCCCAATGACCGATGGGGTTTCGTGCTATGCTTATGATTGCAAGTTGTGAATGTGGATGAGGTACTTTGTAATGCACATCATTTTGTTTATCAATCTTCTCTTTCCCCAATGACCGATGGGGTTTTGTGCTATGCTTATGATTGCAAATTGTTGTAAAATAGGGAGAGGTTATGTTAGCGGCAAAGGAAGCTTCTAGCAAGATTTTGAAGAGGGCTGGTATCAACATACCCAACAGAATGAATGTCCTCTGATTTGTTTCCTCTGAAGGTTCTCCATGCTTGCAGTTGTTCCTGGAAAGGATGTTGCATTCTGATGGCGACACGGAATGAATGTCCTCTGCACAGCCATCAACTTAAATGTGTAGGGACAACACACTAAAACTTCCCTTCAAGTCCTGTTTCTTCTGTCTTCCAATTGTGAAGCAATGCTTGTAATCTTGGTGAAACGCTTGCAGAACGAGTTCAGAAAACTGATAATAAGTGAAAGAGCCTTGGACACGAAAATTGTCTCTCCAAATTGAGATTAAATTGACATGAAGATGGATTCTTGTACAGATCAAACGGCTTTGATTTGATGAAATTGAAAGTAGTTTAGTCAGCTGTTGATCATTGTATTGTACGTACAGGCAAATCATATTTAAAAGTATCATTTCTCGAAGAACTGAAAAAAGGAGGCTAAAAGCTGGCATTATAATTCTGTGAAATAAAAAATGTTTAGTATTCTTTCTCATGGATGTTTAAAGAAAACAACTATCACCATTAAACTTATTTACATTAGAAACTTATTAAAAAATAATTCAACTGATAATTTATTTATTTATTAAAAATAAATTAAATGAACTTTTAGAATAAAAAAATATTATAAATTTGATATCTAGATGTTTTAGTCTCCGGTTCTTAATTTTTTAACTTTTATATTCTTATGATAATATGGAAGCTAATAACATAAAAAGGTTAAATTAGAAGGGGAAAAGGTGAGACCCACTCATATCATTATTTTTTATATAAACAGTGAAACTAACACACGTGATTTAATTGTTTTGTTAATTAATTGTTAATGTTAAAATAACGAAATAAATGCATAATGTAAGGTGTTAATTTTATGGTTAAGTCGAAATTACCAATAACTTGAATAGTGATGATAATACAATCTTTGTTGTTTCCGTTGACCTTTTGTTTTCAGCAGGGGAGGTGAAGGGTAGGGTTTTTTGGGGTTACGGTGGCCGCTAAAGGGTTGATGGTTTGGTTATGGATTTTCAACACACCTGACCCCTGGTGATTCTTAGAGGACACATTTGTCATTTTGTTAACACCAAACACAATATCTGTAAATTTCATCTTCATCATCATCATCTCTCCAGCAAAAGCTTCCACACCAAACACCTTCTCCCTTTCTCTATCTCTATCACTTGCATAGACAATCCCTATCCCCACCAATGGCGGCTTCTCTTACAACTCTGGTACTCCCTTTTTTCCTTTTCATTCTCTCACTGGTCAGGCACACCCCTACTTTACTGTTCTTCTTTTTTACTAATCCAGCATGAACTTTGTGTTTTATTCTTTGCAGCCGAATGTGGGCTCACTATTCAGCCCCATAAATACCATGTCGCGGGTAAAATCGGGAAGCTCCACTGCGTTTAATGCAGTGAAGTTTCCCAGCAGAAATTTGTTGCCGTCTAATGTTTCCTCGTCTTCATCGAGCTTGTTCTTCTCGGGCTCGCTTCGTTTTGCTTCTCTTACAACCTCGTCTCCGAAGAAATCCCGTGTTCTAAGCTCCGTTCGAGCGAGTGCAGAGGTAAGGGGTTTTGCAGGGGTTTTCTTTTCTATTTTTTTCCGGTTATTCTGTGTATCTAGTTTATTATGTAGATTTTATCGGTTCAATTGATTGAGGGTATTGTTTGCTTGAGACCTGGATATTGTATTCCCTTTAGATTTTAGTGAGCTGTTTTTTTTTTTTTTTTTCTTGAACTCTGTCGATTATATGCAGCTTTTTGTAAAGTTTAAGAAACCAATTTGGGATCAGAAAATTTGAATTGCTGTTTGAAATACTTATTAGAGTTTGTTTTGTGATGGTTTTGATGTGGAATTAGTTTTGTGGATGAATGAAGTTTGAATTGTATGTGGTTTTTTTTTTTTATATCGGTGTCTTGATTTTCCTTTTGTTTGTTAAAATTTTCAGGTTGCGGAGTTGCAGTCAAAGGTGACCAACAAAGTGTATTTTGATATAGGGATTGGGAATCCAGTAGGGAAGCTTGTTGGGAGAATTGTCATTGGGTTATATGGTGATGATGTGCCACAAACAGCAGAGAACTTCCGTGCATTATGTACAGGTTGTGTCATATGAACTTTGGATCTATACTATCCATTAGCTCTTTTCTTTCCTTAGCATCAACGCTTTGAATTTTTTATAATTTGCTTTCAATTATGTATTTTGATCAGGAGAGAAGGGCTTCGGCTACAAAAATTCTGCTTTCCACCGTGTCATCAAAGATTTCATGATTCAAGGAGGGGACTTTGACAAAGGGAATGTGAGTGCCCTCTTGCAATATATTGTCTTGTTAGTTAGCAAGTTTTGAATCCCTGTTTCATAATTATACATACCACTAAAGATATCAATTAATTTGCAGTGCTAGTGGCCTTTTGTTATTGTTAAAGGATCTCTTCGCCTCCCTTTATTGTCTCACTAGAAATTGTAATATTTGCTTAAAATCTGATAAAGAGCAAGAATTTTGGTTGCATGCTATGGGAACTTGAATATCTCGTTTCCACCCTAATTTTCTTACCTCCTAAACAATTTCACCTTTCAAGTTCCTATTGAACAATGTGGTGTTCTTTATTCTAAGAAATATTTCACTATTTATGAAATAAGAGATCACTTTGAAGTTTTTCATCACTTGGTCTGATATATCAGAGCTGCACCAGTATTTAAATGCATTTCAGAAACACAAGGTGCTTTCTTGTCAAACTTATAGTTTGTGAAATTTGATTCATTGAATAAGTTGGCTGTGCTGCAAATATATAGGATTTATCACTATTCAAGTTGCGAACTTGTGATTGAGATGTGTGAGGGGGTTGACCTAATGCTTTAAATGGCCCGTGTGTAAATATTTTCTTTAGTTGAACAAGGATATGTGCACTTTACAGGTCAAGTTAAGGGTCAAATGAATGGGAATCTCTGCACTCTTGTGGGTTTAGTTAGAAAGTTTACATGATTTGTCTAGTGTGCTTGGCAACATTTATTTTGAAAAGGATATCTTAGTTGGGATGGGATCTCCATTTAAGTTTAGGGTTTATGGATTTATTTTGAAAATAGATGCTCAGTTCAGTTTCTAAAACCCTTGAAATTTTCTCTTTATTCAATTTCTATGCTTTTGTTTCCCTTGTTTCCGTGAGTGTTTGTTAAGAAATGAAACATTGTCCATGATATTCTAAGCTTTGTACTTAAGGCATTCTAAAGTGTTTTAAATTAGTAATGTATTCTAATTGTCAGTATTTGGAAATACTTGCAGGGCACTGGAGGTAAGAGCATATATGGCCGCACATTCAAAGATGAAAACTTCAAGTGTAAGTCTGTACTTCTCATGTAACTATTGCTCTAGGTTGGAGTCCATGTTCAGTAAACATGAAAATCCCACCTAGGAAGTTTCTTTGGTTGAAGATAGATGATCCCTTCTCCATAACTCACTCTCATCCTGTTTTAAGCTTGCGCGGTCCCTAAACAGAAATTTTCCTGTATTTTAATAATGAGTTTTTGCCACCGGATGCCTAATTATGAAATCTCAATCAAATGTTTTGCAGTGTCACATATTGGACCAGGAGTTCTTAGTATGGCAAATGCAGGGCCCAACACCAATGGAAGCCAATTTTTTATCTGCACTGTTAAGGTAAATAATTGTCTT